ATAGCTAAAAAATAGAGAGAAAAAAAAGAAAAAATATTTTAAAAAAGAAAAAGTCCATTTTTCAATGTCTTTAGGCTCATTTACTTATTTCCTTGACCTCCTCACACCTCCCCTTTTTGTATTCCCGTTTAGAAAATCCTTTCAGCAAATCCTTACCCTCTTTCATTTATCTTTACTCTGTATCTTAACCTATTATAACTGTATATTTTCATCCATATAACTATCAATATTTACATATTCTTATTAACCTTATTACCAAAACCACTTGTTTTCAGTCCAACATCAATTTAACATTCATTAATTTTACAGTATTTCTGCAAATAGTCTTTAAACTTCTTCCAATCTTCTTCCACCGACTCTTCTCCCTGGTCTCGGATTCTGCCAGTCATATCCGCCAATTCCATATAGTCCATCACCTTCATCTGCCATTCTTCCAGAGTGGGTAAATCTTTTGTCTTCCAATACTTTGCAATAAGTATTCTTGCTGCTGTTGTAGCATACATAAAGAAAGTTCTATCCTTCTTTGGCACCAATTGGCCGACTATACCCAAGAGGAAGGCCTCTGGTTTCTTCAGGAAGGTAAATTTAAATACCTTTTTCATTTCATTATAGATCATCTCCCACAGTCTGATTTTTTTTAATGAAAATTCATCAGTATTGTAGTACACACTGCACTTAATATGCACACTTTTGTATGCAGTTTCCCCTAAGAAACACTTTTTTGCCATCAATTTCACCAAATATAAAGTCTTTTTGTACTTTCCACCAATGTATGCATTTTATGCACACTTTGTCCTGGTAGATGCATTTTTGTATACTTCACTTGGTTGGAGAACTGCTCTGCAAAATTCAGAGAAGTGCCAATTTTGGTGAATAGCTGTGTTTTGCTTCACATATTATTTTGGAAAGTGCCAATTACATAGGCAGGTTCACTTTTAAAATGTAAGCTGGATTCAATTTCTCCCCTTATTCCAATTCATCTAGGCTTTACTTTCCCCTGGCTTTTGACAATTGAGATGTGTGTTTTCAGGACCCACCCCATCCCTGTGACTGTAATTTGTTTTTAACACTGAATTGATTTTTTATCCCACCAGCCCTAAAACCTGCACGTGAAAGACAGGTATTAAATTTCATCATCATAACACTTTTGTACAGTTTTTGGACAGAGAACTGAATTGCAAAATTCAGAGAAGTGAGCTTTCTGAAGGATGGTTCCATTTTGGCTGGTGTTATTGTTTTGGGGAGCGTAAATGAGGGAAGTTTGCTTTAAAATATGTACTGAACCTAATTTCTCCCTGATCCCTGGAGTAGATCCATTGACATCAGTGGACTTAAGTTAATCAAGTCAATGGGCTTACTCTTGAGTAACCTATTCACATGAGCAGGAGCTGTGGAAGACTATAGTAGTATCCTTGTGGTGCTTCTTGTTTGCGCTGAACTTTATGATGAAAAGGCTCTTGGCTGTTTTTGCTAGAACAGGCGAACAAGCAGCTCTACTTCCAGACAATGTACCCATTGCCAAGTGGTTTGCTTCTGCTCTGATCAGTTTCAAGCACTGTCAAATGCTTTTGTGGGTCATTCTGGAATGTTTGCGGTAATTTAGGATAAACTAGGGAAGCTCTGCAGGAGTGGCTAGATCAGGGTGCATAACATTTTTTTTAGTCCAGGCTGCATTTCCTTGTGGGCGTTTTCCAATCTTAAATTCGGTTCTCCACATTACTGTGGCAAGTTGTGATTTTTATTTCTTTAAATAATACTCAGGAACTTTCATCCATATTTAGTGCAAATTTATCCTAATAAACACATTTTCCTAGGTGATTTTGCCTTGCACATTTCCCCCCAAGCATTCCCCTCTAATATAATGCATTATTTTCATTAATGATCAGAGCAGAAGCAAACCACATGGCAATCAGTACATTGTCTGGAAAAACAATTGTTGTACCCCACCTTTGGACCTTAGGGTGAAGCGTGAGTGATAAATTGTAATAATAGCAGTAGTATTGGTAGTAATTATAATTGACAAAATAACAATATTCAGAGAATTTTAAAGGATGGCTATATTTTGGTACATGTATTGGTTTGGAATGTGTGGGTTTGATAAGTTCAGCTTTAAAAGCAAACTCATTCACCCGCCCTGTGGAACGCCCTCCCAACAGTTGTCAAAGAGAAAAACAACTACCAGACTTTTAGAAGACATCTGAAGGCAGCCCTGGTTAGGGAAGCTTTTAATGTTTAATAGACTATTGTATTTTAATATTCTGTTGGAAGCCGCCCAGAGTGGGTGGGGAAAGCCAGCCAGATGGGTGGGGTATAAATAAATTATTATTATTATTATTATTATTCGAATTTATCCCCTACCCCTACCTTGGAGTGCTGCTGCCAATTGGTGTAGACTATACTGAGCTAGATGGACCATTTGGAAATGATATTTTCGAAAGCTTCTTCCATGCTCTGCTTCTTATTTTCAGCCCCCCATCCCACCGATATGGGGATAATAAATAGTTTTCGTGGAATTGTTTTATTGTTTATTTTAAGGATGGATGTTTATATTTTAATGTTTCAATGAAATAGTTTTAAAGTCTGTGCACTTGGTTTTTATACTCCATAAACTGGTTAGAAGCTTATTTGTCATTCAGCAGAGAGGGGAAGAAGAAGAAGAAGAAGAAGAAGAAGAAGAAGAAGAAGAAGAAGAAGAAGAAGAGGAGGAGGAGGAGGAGGAGGAGGAGGAGGAGGAGGAGGAGGAAGAAGAAGAAAGACCTACTTTGCAGGATTGCTGTAGGGTTTACTGAGATAAGGTAGGTGAAGCCTCTGTACTCTCCAGAGCTGTAAAGCAGAGACCTGTGGGAACTGCATTGTGGGTACAAAACTGGTTATAGAATCTCATTTCTGTATAAACAGAAAAATGGACAAAATGGAAACAGAATAAATGGCTACTTTAGCTTAAGTGTAACAAAGAAGAGCAGAACCCAACCCCCCTCTCCTTGAGCCATACCATTTAGACCAGGCATCCCCCACCTGCGGCCCTCCAGGTGTTTTGGCCTTCAACTCCCATGATCCCTAGCTAACAGGACCAGTGGTCAGGGATGATGGGAACTGTAGTCCAAAACATTTGGAGGGCTGAAGGTTGGGGATGCCTGATTTAGACTGACTGGAATGGCCTGCAGAAGAAACAGGGGCTGCTTATTATGGGCTTGGCTACAAAGATCATGGAATGTTCCGTCTCCACGGAGCATCCAGCTAAGTTGCACATTCCTGGCAGCTTAAATTACAGCCCATCTGAACATCTAAGGGGGTGTTTTTGAGAGTCCTGAAACTATATCACTTATCGGATTTTTGATGCAAAAAACCCCTAGTCCTTCCAAGCCAAAACCATCACCCTTGACTCCTTTAACAGAGGGCCGGCGTAGCAGAAATGAGTTCCCTTTTGGGCAGGGTCTGTCATTTTCATCTGGAGCACTCAGATTATAAGTGAGGGCCTGGGAGAGAGGAAAAGGCATCACACATAATGGCAGGGTTGCTTCTTCCAAGAAATCCTATTTTCAGTTGCTGAGGGAAGGAGAGTCTTGGAATAAATTTTGCAGATCCTTCATGAAGAAGTGAACCAGGCAAAATTTCCCTTGAAGGGAACTGGCCAGCAGTCTCCAAGATTTACTCTGATTGGTATAATTCCTTGAACTAAAGTGGCTCACACACTCCACTGCATGCGTGGAGCTCATCCCCCAAGGGAGAAATCTGATTAACATGAGCAGTGGAGCCAGGAATCAGCCTCTTTCCTGTGAGGTGGATAGAGAAACGCTTCTCTCCCTCTCTCGTAACATGTAACTTGGGGACATCCAATGAAGCTGAATGTTGAAAGATTCAGGACACAGAAAGGGAATGACCTCTTCACACAGCACATAGTTAAACTGTGGAACTTGCTCCCACAAGAGGCAGTGATGACCAAAGAGGATGAGACGAATTCATGGAGGAGAGAGATAGCAATGGCTGCTAGCTATGATGGCTATGGTCTGCCTCCACTCTCAGAGGTAGTAGTGCTTTTGATACCCGTTGCTGGAAACAGCAATCTGGATGGACAACGTGAGAACAGGACTAGATGGGCCCCATTAGATCTGACTCTTCTTATGTTCTTAGGAGTCCTTGCCTATAAGGAGAGACTTATAACAGTCCCAATGAAAGAAGGAAATTGCTGTATTTGATCTTGTCCCTGTTCCCTCCACATTATGCAGATGCAACTTTTGACCTTTGAAGCCCTTCACAATCTGGGACCAGCATCCCTGAAGGACCACCCATCTCCCCATGTTCAACAGGGATGCCCATATAACCTGAGCTGGGACCCACTTGGTGGTGGCACCTGCAGTTGTAGAATGATCTCCCAAGGAAGGCTTACCTGGGCCAATTTTGATGTCGCCTTTTTATTTTCCCAAAATTCTTAGGCCTCTGCGAATTGTAGTCACACTGTTTTGTATTTATTTCTGTTTTTATATTTTTATTTTGCACTGTGGTATTCTAATGGGGTTTTTCTTTTCTTTTCTTTTATCACACTTTTAACTTTCTGTAAGCCACCCACCAGCCAATCAATGACATATTTTAGCTTATGTATTACTCACTTGTTTTGAATTATGGTGCTGGAGGAGACTCTTGAGAGTCCCATGGACTGTAAGAAGATCAAACCTATCTATTCTTAAGGAAATCAGCCCTGAGTGCTCACTGGAAGAACAGATCCTGAAGCTGAGGCTCCAATACTTTGGCCACCTCATGAGAAGAGAAGACTCCCTGGAAAAGACCCTGATGTTGGGAAAGATGGAGGGCACAAGGAGAAGGGGACGACAGAGGACGAGATGGTTGGACAGTGTTCTCGAAGCTACGAACATGAGTTTGACCAAACTGCATGAGGCAGTGGAAGACAGGAGTGCCTGGCGTGCTCTGGTCCATGGGGTCACGAAGAGTCGGACACGACTAAATGACTAAACAAAATTACTCACTTGATTATCTACGCCCTTGGCTACCACCATAGCTCAGTGGTAGAGCAACTGCTTTACATGTAGATGGTCCCAGGTTCAATCCCCGGCATCTCCAGGCAGGGCTGGGAAGTGCCCCCCACCTGAATTCCTGGAGAGCCACTGCCAGTCAGTGCAGACAATGTTGAGCTTGAGGAACCAATTGTCTGACTTGATATACGGCAGCTCCCTATATTCCTATCTAATTAATTCTTTTAAAGTTGGTTTTCCACCTTAACATAAAAAGCACCTGTCTTTCTACAGTTGCAACATGTGTCGGCCAAAGGCCTGAAAAACTACCCTGAGCCTTCCACTCACATCAACCCAGATATTATAGACCAGTGGTTCCCAAAGTGGGTGGTACTACCCCCTGAGGGTCAGTAGGATTACCTAGGGGGCTTACTGAGAGGTAAGGGGGTTACAGGGGGGCTGGAGGTGCTGAATGACATTGTAAAGCTGGTAACACTGGATCAAGCTCACCAATTTTGTTGAATTAATCAAACTAAATGGCTTTAATTGGATTTTGAAGAAATGTGAAATTATTCGTTACTGTTTCGAATTGTATTGTGTTATTATCTTCCTTAGTGGGTCAGGTTTTCTTTTTTTATAGGGTGGGGTAGTGGGCAATGGGGATGAGCTTATAGAATCAAGAGGGCAGTGGCCACCCAAAATTTGGGAACCACTACTTTAGACAGGGGGGATGCGGGTGGTGCTGTGGGTTAAACCACAGAGCCTAGGACTTGCCGATCAGAAGGTCGGTGGTTCGAATCCCTGCGATGGGGTGAGCTCCCATTGCTTGGTCCCTGCTCCTGCCAACCTAGCTGTTCAAAAACATGTCAAAGTACAAGTAGATAAATAGGTACCGTTCCAGCGGGAAGGTAAAAGGTTTCCGTGCGCTGCTCTGGTTCGCCAGAAGCGGCTTAGTCATGCTGGCCACATGACCTGGAAGCTGTACGCCGGCTCCCCCGGCCAATAAAGCGAGATGAGCGCCACAACCCCAGAGTCGGTCACGACTGGACCTAATGGCCAGGGGTCCCTTTAACTTTACCTTTACTTTAGACAAGCGAATGTTGGTTATTGTGTTCAGCCTTGGGAAAACCAGGGTAGGCAAATGAGCAAAGTATAGCTGGCGAGACCATGCATGCCAGTTCTGTTCCTGAGCGTTCCACTGTTATAAAGGCAAGCATCTTTCGCCATTGCCCTCTTGCATCTCTCTCCGCGTTTCCATAATGCAATTAGAGGCATTTCGTTTTTGCAAGTGCTCCTCTGCTCCCAGCCGTGTGGACCTCCAGCCCTGGGCCAGCCTGGCTGCTCAATAAGCAAACAGATGCCCCGAGTGGCATCCTGCAGAACCCCAAACAATTGTGACGCCCAGACCGAACCGCAACATGTCAAAAGTGAGGCTGTCGAAACACTGCCGAGGAGATTTGTGGCTGGAATCCCAGCCCACATGAGGTCATTTTCTGTTTGAGCTTAGCTCATTAGTCCAGGGGGCTTGTTGATACAGCCCGAAGTGCGGGTGACAAGTGTTGAATTAGACCCGGCCTGGCAGCCTGGCGCATACAGAGATCCATCATTGTCTCTCCCTGGGAACAGGACCATTAATTACGCCCAGGACTCAGGCCAAGATTTTTCCAGCCGGGTCTGTGTCTCTTGGAGGTCATTCCTGTTCTGCCATCACCCCATTTTTCTGACAGCAGAGTATTTAAGCAACACAAGAACAGTTTTATTTGTAACAATGATGGGAGAGGCGCAGGTCAAAGGACGTCATTAGGTAAATTCCTTTTCTTTTTCTCCAGCTGCGATTGAGTTGGCTGCCACCCAAAAGCCTCCATTGACAGCCCACCTTGGAAATCCTTTGTGTTTTGCCTGCTTTCTAAAAGGCCAAGCCGTGCAACCTTATTATTATTATTATTACTATTATTGGTGCATTTATATCCTGCCTTTCTCCCAAGTTGGGATTTAAGGCGGCTTATGACATTTAATAACTACGTTATAAAATACAGAGCGATGAAAACAAACCAGTTAAAAACAATAATTTAAATACATCAGAACACATTTAGAACCAGCAATTAAATACAGTTTGTGGCTGATTTGTGAGCACGATAATATTGATTGAAAATGCAGTCTGCCACAATGGCAGCCCCATGATCAGCCTTATCTGCACCTTAGTTTCCAAAGGTCTGCCTGAACAGGAAGGTCTTAGCCTGTTGGCAAAAGGAAAACAATGAGGGAACCAGTCTGACCTCTCTTGGGAGGGAATTCCACAATACAGGAGCAGCCACAGAAAAGGCCCCGTGTCGTGTGACCACCAACCATGCCCCTGATGTTGATAGGACCAAGAGAAGATGCTCCCCCCAAGGATGTTAGAAAAAGGGCTGGAAAGGGGTGTGGCCTAGCCAGTGCTTTTGCTCCTTAGAAAATGTTTAGGGGTACTCTCATTTTCCTACTCATATTGCAATACTGCCCCTCAGTGAGGCCAGACTCAGATTCACATAATGTTTAGGGGTATGCATACCCCCAGAAAAAAAGCACTGGACCTAGGAGAGAGGGTGTGCCCAGGAAACAGTATTGAGGGCCAGGCAGAGAGGCCCCAAGGGCCATAGGTCTGAGATTCCCCACCCTGGCTGTGGAACCTGCAACATAGCCAGGAATGGCTTTTTGTGTGAGGCAGGAGGAAGTTTGCAATCCCTTGGCATGGGCTGGCTAAGTTACGAGGGCCCTTTGCCAAAACTATGAGGCAAACGCAGATTGTGAGCTATCTCTCCCACCCCCAGCTTGGATCCAGACTGAGTTTCTGTCCCGCTCAGAGAGAGAGGGAGGGTAGGACTCTTTTCACCCAGTGATTTGCATGGTAATTAATAGAGATTTTGCATTTCCCGTCAAATGCTAGAGAGCAACTGCGTCTCTTTACCCTCGGGGCCTAATGCTGTCCCACCAGAGGCTGGAGGAAGTCAGTATCAAAGGAGAAAGTGAAGGACCTTCTGCATATCAAGTCTCCGAATAACCTGATTTCCTCAAGGAGGGTTCATTTGACAGATGGAATAAAATTATGATAAATATTCCCTTGGTGGGAAAATATAATGAGGTTTGCGTAAGGGGAGGAGATAAGCGGTGTGGGATGTTTAGACAGGAAAGTAGGCAGGGCGAGGGGGGGTGAGGGATAGGAAGGTTTACTAAATCAAAAATTCCAATTAGGACCCTAATTTATCTTAGCAGAATGTAAAATAATTGGAGATGAGGCCTACATGTCCACCCAGATCCAAAAAAACAGTTCAGGACTGACACTAGCTAGGCGCTCCCCTAGATGACCTGTTTACTGAGCATCATTCATCCTGATCTGCTTGCACAAAGCTTTGGTGGAGGCTAAACTATGTCCAGACTTTACTGAGCACTGACATAAGAGGAACCCACAGGATCTGGCCAAAGGGGGGCCCTCTAATCCAGTATCCTGCTCTCACAGTGGCCAACCAGATGTCCATTTTGAGAAACCCACAAGCAGGACAAACCAGATTTGCACTTCCCAGAAGGTGTGCACAAAAACACAAAGACTGGTGGGAAATCATCTGCAATTTAGAGTATTGTGCATGAAAATTGCTGCATTTTTTTGGTGCTGGCTTTAAAAAAAAAAATCGCAAAAGGAGATGGAAATGTGATGAAAGGAAAAACTGAAATGGACTAGTTCATCCCTCCCTGGGGATGAGTATTATTCTGTGACTTTCTCAGCTGTTCTGGGCTAGAAGTCAACTCACTTCACCAGTGCAGATCCATCTCTTTGCCTTTCCCTCTGTTTTAATTTATACTGAATACGACTCCGTAGTTCAAATAATGCTTCCTTTTTCCTTTTTTTTTTAGTTATGTTTGTGCAGGTAATGATGATATAGTCTCATTTATGCAAGATTATCCTTTTATCACATTTCCAGACTCATTTATGAGGCTCATGTTTTTCCCTCGAGGGCATCATCAAGTGAGTTAAGTTGTACTATTTGCCTCCTGCGGTGAACTGGCAGGAACCTCCTTCATTGACTGATGAGGGCTTCTGCCTTTGCCAAATAGGGTCTGTGTGATGGATATTTTACTTGTGAATATTATAGCTAGAAATTAGCATGTTTATTGAGGAAAAATGTGTGTGTTTACATTCTGCTACCCATGGTTTTACCTTTTATGACCCAGATTGTTTAGCAGAAGATAAGCACAAATGACTTCCATTTTGATTTTCAAAGGGGGCAGGGAGAAAAGAAAAGAAATTAATGAAGTACTAGATATAGAATTTGCCTTAAGTAACGCTATAAGGCAGAAATATTCACTATCTGGCAGTAGGGTGAGGGGGCTTAATTCTTTAACTTTCATCAGAACGAAAGGATAAAACTGCCATTTGCTGAGTGGTAACTAACCACAGTGTGCACGTAGTTACTTGACAAGCTGTCTGGGAAATTTAACCACAATTTCTGTGGCTAGCCAAAAACTGGGGGGGAAAGGTGGACTTAGGATTTATTCTCTTGGCTTGGCAAGATGTTCCTTAAGGCCGGATGATAATGTGGCTGCAGGAATCCATAGGGCAGCTTTTGCCAACCTGGTGCCCTCCAAATGTTTTGGACTACAACTCCCATCAGCCCCACCCACTAATGATGCTGGGCATGATGGGAGTTGTAGCCCAGAACTCCGGAAAGGTGTCAGGCTGCTGACGGCTGCTGTAGTAGCTTGCTTCTTCACAAATACTCATCTCTGTTTACCCATCGCTAGAACTGAAAGTAGACCGAAGATGAAGTAGTGAAGGGTTAATTTTCTGGAGGATTGAGGCCCAAGGAAAAGAAAGGAAACAAGCACAGTTGCATTTGAAATGAGAGGATCAGCCAAGGCAGGCACAAATTGACCAAAGCAGATCAGCTTGGTACGGTGGCCCTGGTGGGTCTCAAGCAACACAGCTTCATGATAGCTGCCCAGCTGTCGTTTAGCCTCTTTCTGTGTCTTTCCTAACTTTCAGTAGCAAATTTATTCTGCATGATCTCTGAGATAATATGAGGGTCTTCTCATTCGCACATCCAGCTTGACCTCTGCTGCTGCCGTCACCAAGTGATG